GTCATCTGATATTGTCGGAACATTATCGCAAATTCCTAACAGAACCATCAACAACTTCGTTGTCATTAGATAGTTATTGTTAATATTTTAATATATAATCGATCATCATGTGATGCATGTCTGTGTGTCACGAAGGATATCTGAGTGCCATCGCAGTATTGGCAGTGTGTATAAAGTTGTGGGCAGTAGCGTCATCTATTAGTATAGGAGTAAAACTTGGCCACTGTGGTAGATTGTAATTCTATTTTAGTCTGTTTATTAGAAATATCACACAGTGAAGGAGTAGTATCATTTATTGGATAATGTTTCGGACACCATTTATTGTCCATATTCATATCAGGGTAACTCCACAACTTCGAGACAGTTTATATAGTTCTAATTTTTTCCCTTTTCAAAGGAGCGACAAATAGGGTAGTGTCATATAGATTTCTTGTAGCTGAGCTTACATTTTTAACACATCCATGATTCCTATACACTTTGATTTGTGTGACTAAATCTTCTGAGAGATGTGTTCAAGCACAATTTTAATTATAAGATTTATTTCATGTTTCATTTTCAGTACAACAGTGTTTATATTCAGCTACAAATTCTCTCACCTTCACCTTTAGGTCATTGATAGAAAATACTTCGTTAGGTAGTAAATAATGATTGAATTTTGCATGATATAAAATAGGTGGACGAAATCAGAAAATTGATATACATAATTCGTCTCATTAGATAAATATCACCGATCAGTAAACGTATATCTTCGTTAGGACAGACGTGGTATCCTTATTGCAATCTTTTTTTACTCTCTGAAAAGCACTTATCGTTGTATTTATTGTTACTTGGTAGTGATTGGTAGATACTGGCTAGCAGTAAACTCATGGATAGTCATTTTATTTTATTTGGAACTTCTCCATATGCCAAACGAATGAACGAAACATACTCAGTCACCTTGTGCATATCCGTGCAGTAGACAGTAAGCCACACCTATTGTGTGAGGGCTAGTGTTACCATCTGGCTGGCTAAACCTCGGTAGTTGGAGCGGGGCTCAAACCTTTGACCCACTGGTTGGTAGTCATCTCCCTAAACCATTGAGCCCCTTAGCTATACCGTTCACATACCACTCGCCATAAATTGTTTATATATTAGTAAGGCTTTCTACATATCTTGGGGAAAAGATATTTAGTCCAGCCCATATTATAGTGGATAACGTCCATCGATTTTGCCGACACATTTCAACTTTTATTCTGTAGAGAAATCTGTCTACACCCTTTTTTGAAATCAAACTGTTTTCCTATCAGTTATTAAAGGATGGATGCTTGGTCGTATTATATTGGATGATAAATTTACAAATTACTTACAAACTCCATGGTTTAAATGGACATTTCTCATAGCTGAACAGTTTTTTAACTGCTGGATTGTAATGTCAACAGAGTTTCCGTTTGAAGTCAAGATGATGAGTGCTGTCTCTGATACAAAAGCATCACGAACTAAAAGACTATACTACTAAATAAAATGATTTCAGTTGATCTGAATAATACAACTCTATGGGCTGCGGTGATCGGCTCGGCACCAAATGAACGGAATGATTCTCCAGTGTTTAGATAACTTTGATGTGCCTAACGAAATCTACAAAGTAGTTTGAGTGGTTTCCAACTACTCATATTGTTACCTATATCTTTGATATTCCTTACTTACAATTTGTATATATTTAAACTACTTTTTTCATGCTCTTTTTCCCTCACATGGGTCACACTTCGTTAAACTCCTACTGGCGTTCTAAGTGGCTTTTCCTCTTTAAATGTACTAATTATTCCTTGTCTTTCAAGATTACTATAGACTGTATAAATAGGGTTCGTTCTTACGAATAAACATTTTCAGTTTGAGATACTATAAACTCATTCGGTTACCATTCTTTTGATTTCTCTTGTAAATGATGATCACATATACACACATACAAAATGATTTACTTTGCAAAGTATGCCCCACTACTTGAAATGAGATATGAGGCAATATCAAGCAACGTATCCATTCAAGAAGCCCATATGCAGATAGAGACCGACCAATTCGACCCAGTATAGTAATCAACAAAAATTCACGAGCATCAAAAATAAATGGATTATTAGTGCACAATTCTTTATGAAATCACAAGCAATGACTGTATTTAATTGATGGATAGTGGTTAGCAGTTCAAAGAAATGCCTGAAAATATCGGCAATGTGGAAGCAGGCACACAGGAGCCCACATATCGACTTACAAGCTCTATAGCATAAAAATCAATACCCTGATGTTCTTTAACGCATCCACAGTTGATCTCCAATCTTTCTTAGAGTAAAACGTATCTGTTTATTGATAAATTCTATTAGCAGTGATGACTGTAATGATAGAGGTTTTCACTTCAGTTAACCGATTACACGACTTAAAAAATCTAGTTGCCATGCAATAATGAGCTATAGCTCATTGATCTAAGAAGTTGATTTTCAGCCAGTGCGGAGTGAGTTCGAATCCTGCTCCCTCTACTGAAGTCTGGACAGACAGACAGACAGTATCACCATTCCACCAGCTATAGATGTGGCTTACTGCTTAATGCATAAAATTGCATACGGTTGCTGAATGCCTTTCGAATTTTTAAAAAATCTTTTATATAAAAATCTTTCTTAACACTTTCACTCCATATCTTTGTATACTTTCTCGTCATATATGGGAATTTCTCACATACGCTATACAGTGTTATTTTCATTTTCATCTGATACTTAGCTTCTTGAATAAAACATAAAAATACAGTGCGCTATGATATTGCATCACCCTATTTAGTGAACACACTACAAACTTGATCGATCGACTTCGATCTGTGGTGTGGACATTTAAAACTTGACAACATCGGATATCAGCTGGGGACCAGTTTATATACACTTCTATCTTTTAGTGAAATATATACTAGCTATTGAGATCGTGTGAATTCTCATGGTTGAATGCATTAAACACTTTACTTACCTGGGAAGTCGGATCAGGCCTGGTGGGTTAGCGGCTGACGAAATCTCTGCATGAATAAAAACATCTGGATTGGGTTTCGCCAACGTACGCCATCTGTATCACTGCTGTGATATTCGATTCCCCATTAAGAGTGAAGTGTGCTTCGCTGCGGTTCACTCTGTTCTACTATATGGCTGTGAAACATAGTCATTCAAGGTAGAGGATGTGAGAAAGCTTCAGGTGTTTTACCATGGTTGCCTTAGTAGCATAGACTGTGTGTGGGTAGTGTTGCCACATGAGTAACGCAGAAGTCAGGTGTAGAGTTTTAGGTAGCAGAACCTTCTTCGACTGAGATGGTTAAGATATATGGTACACATGCCTACTCATCGTCTGTATCGTCGTGGAATTTCGACTGAGTTATGTTCATGCTGGAAGAAGGCTCGGGCTGGGGATTGCATAAAATCTTTGACTGTAGGAAGGTGTAGACTGGCCGGTTGGGACCCATGTGGTTGGAGACTCTAGGTAATATGGTTAAGAATCGATAGCAGTAGCGCAGACTTATCCACAACTTATCCTCTTCTTAATCGTCATACTGAATTCATCATTTTCTCACTCCTTTTTCCTCTCTTTTTCTTCATTCTACTGCTTTTGACTGCCTTTCCTTTTTTCTTTGTATTACTTTTTGCGTGATTCACTGATATAACTTAGCAACTTGGATCATTATACAGCAATGGCTTATCGTATATTGATTGATTGATTTTTCATGTCGTTTCGAGCTTTCAAATGTGATCAACAGATTTGGTTTCATGCTTAATGAATTGTCATCTGTTGGTGTATAAATGGTTCTGGAAAGTATACTAGGCGTTTAGTTCAAAGGAGAATTGATTTTCCGGAATAAACTTAGGGTATCGTGATGTCGGTCTATTGTTATTGGGCTAAATCAAATCTTGCAATTATCTTCACTGCACTAATGGAGTCAGCGTTGTCAAGAATTCACTGTAAACTATCTTTGGGTCGCCTATGCAATGGAGATGCTAATTACTATTAGTATTATACTTTCAGTATAGTTTATGCCACTGATACTGTAACCTTGTGCTCTTATTTGTCTAGTACCTGTTTCACTTGGCGTTTTTACCCTAGGCAAGAATAGAAAACTGATTGAGCACTTAGTCGATAGATACTTGGGATTCATAGAGTAACAATAGTTGTACTGAATTCCATAGGGTGATTGGTACCTGTGAATAAAATTGTAATACTTTTGGACTTGTTTTCATTGAATATTTCACTGAACTTCTGTAATCTACCATCCATATTTTGATTGCTGAAGAATATACTCTTCATGTATAGACGCCATAGTGTTAACCTACTCGAAGCATACATGCATTTACTCGTACAAATATTGTAAGCATAGTTCAGTAGCTTCATAGTGATACACGTGAGCGGTATTCTATCTTCCACACTCTAATGCATAGCTGTATATCAACAGCACTTGATTATTGTCCTACTTCAGTCTGGACAGCTGATATAATTGGTTGTGCGTGGTTATGTGGTTGGTAGAACCTGACAGTGGAATACATTAGAACAAACATTTTTTAAAGACATTCCACAACTTGATGTGTATGTATCTTATTGATTATTAATTTTTTCATGAAGTCTTCAACTCTATAGTCCATTATTCTCTGAGATATCGTTTTCTTAGCAGAGTTACATTGTATAGTACTAACATGTGATAGCAGTGTGGAAAAATCTGTACTAGTAGCTTTTACATTAGCAAAGGTTTGTCATTTCTGTAGATGAACAACTGTAAGCATAGTATGTAATACCTAACAGAGGTGTGGTTCATTCATTGAAACAATCAATATCTAACCAGTGAACCTTACTCTTCTTACAATGGTATGTGGACAGATGAGTACTATCATCCTTTTGTAATATCCAACTAATTTCTCTTCTATTAAACAATATATTTGGTTTTTTTTGTAAATATTAGAATATAGTCATAATGGAGTCTTCTGTAAACGTTAATAAAATTTAATTATGAAACCATGTTATGCATACAACGTGAAAGTTCAGCTCCAACTTTGCCTATTCTTCATCCATTTTATGTTGGAAATGAAGATAATCATATGATTATAGATGATGTACACAATTCAACTAATTTTCCAATAAATCAAAAGAAACATATCAGTATATCATCTGAAGAAGAACCAGTGAAATTTATTCAACTTGATGATTATTGTAAACAAAAGCCTTTATTACATTCTCAACCAATTATTACAGAATTTCATTTACAATCATTATATGATAAAGAGAGAACTTTTTCCCCAAATATTATACCATATCATCAATCATTTTTAACTAATAATCTCGATTGTCAAATTAATCAATCATCGAGAATAGAAGATATTCCAGTTGAAAATTTTACATTACATAATGAAAAAATTGAAAACATTCCATGTTGTAATATTACAGATAAGGCGGAACCATATGAAATAAATGAAGGTTTGTTGTTACTTATCATTTAAACTCTTTTCTATTTTCATTTTTCTTTAAACTATCAAAATCCTACTGTAATATGGTCTAAATAGATATCTGACTTATATGCCTAGATTTAATTCGATATAAAACTCGAGTGTATCAAGTATAGAGGTACGGGGAGGGGTGGGTGGAGGGAAAGTCATTTGGTGAGGTTCTGAACCTTCATCGGCTCTGGTGACTGGGATATATGCTAAGCATGTCTAATCACCGTCTGCCTCGTACAATCTTAGGTGAAGTAGGTTCCAGTTGGAAATTGAGGTTAGTAGCACAGATATGTATCCACACATTATCTTCATCTTAATCGTCATGTTGAATTTGAGTATTCTTTCATTCCTCATTACCCTATCACAATTTTCTACTGCTTTTGACCGATTTCTCTGTTTCTACTCATCTTTCATCTTATTACTTTGTTGATTAATGTGTTGATATTATATTATTTGTCCTTTGGGTTCCTAGTCGAACACAGGGCTTCAGTAGCACGCCGCCATTGCACTCTCTTCTCTGTAGTCTTGTGAACCTTTAAGACTGCCCAGAGGCTTTCATTTCTTCCTCACGCGATCTTGTCTATGTCGTCACCCTCCAATGCGCAAGTCGTCATTTCTCGTTTCGGTTCCACTCCTGGGTGTAGGGTGACCTGGTGTATGATGTCCGTAAATAGTCTTCTTAGTGTATGTCCAGTTCAATCCAATTGATCTCCACTTTCTTCTGCATATTTGTTGGGTGATGGGTTCTTGGTTGGTTCGTTTCCAGACCAGAGTGAGTTCCTTGTTACTTATTCTTATTATTCTGTCCATCTATCTGATCTTCAGTGTCAGTATCGAGTGAGCGTAGTTGGCATGTGTTGATGTATGTCTGCAGTTTTTTGTTGGAAATGCTTTGCGTAACGCGCCGTCAAGTTTCTCAACCATCAAATAGAGGCACTGATTTACTTGACATTAGTGTTGAAAATCTGGATGTTGTTTATAACTTTTGTTGAGTGAAATAGAGTGCAGCAGATTTCCACACTGATTTCAGGTTGATGAACACCTGTCTTGCTGTCTTTCCGATCCTGGTTACTTTGACGTCTTCATCTGTGCCGCCGCTTGTAGTTGAAATGATGCTGCCTAGGTAGGTAGGTAGGTAGGTGAAAGAGACAACTTCGTTTAGATTTTTCCTGTTGATGGTGATTGGTACTTGTTGTTATTGCTTGTTGGGTGTCTTCATCACATCTATCTTCTCTACGTTCACCTGGAGTCCTTTCTTCTCTGCTTTGCCTCTTCAGATAACTTGTTATTTTTCACCTGTAGATCTTTGAGTTTAGGTGACATTAGACATAAATCATCATCGGCGAAATCCGAATCTTTTACGGTCTTTTCATAGGTCCAGCCAGCATATGCTCATCTTCTTGCTCCTCATGGTTTGTTGCTTGATCCAGTCCAGTCCAATCAACCACAGTCGGGAAGATCATCGGTGATAGTACGCAGCCTTGTCTTGTCTGAATGTGTTGAAATGAAGTGTGTGACCTTAGACCGTTACGCAATAATACGCGGTCCTATGTTCATCTTATATGTCTCTTTCTATGCTGTTAACGTTTTCTATTCAAGCTAAGTCATAAATAGATTCTGTATTCTTCTTGTTGTTTCTTGAAAAAGGGACAAAATTATATCTCTGTGATGTTCAAATACAATATGTAGGTTGTTTTTCGAGGATTAGAGTGATATTAGGTTGGAATTCATTATGAACTAACATCAGTTGGAGGAGCATTGGAAACCTGATAGCACTTGACACCTGTTTTGTCCTGGTATAGAACTCCTCAGCAGTTCAGAAAACAGCAACCAACGGATTTGTTCACTCTGGAGGTTTTTAGAGATTTATTAACTGGTTTCAGGTTAGAATTCCAACCCAGTGACTCAGTGATAACGTGGTGGCTACGGAGCTTGAAGGTCCTGGGTTTGATCCTTGGCGGAGTGAGGTCATGGGTGCTCACTACTGGGAAGTTCCATGTTAAGGTGAAACAGGTGTCCAGTGCTCTCTGATTTTCAATTTTCCTCCAACTAATGTCAGTCCATTAGGAATTCCAACTTGAAATCAATTAATTAATCTCCACAAACCTCCAGATAGATTACAGTGATAAAATCTTTTCATTAGAATAATAGGACACTGCCATTTTTTTTGTTATACCGTAAGCTCTCCCCACCGAAGGTATGGCAACAGGTTATGTAACTCAGTTTTTATGATATCTAATCATTCCTTCAAGTTTCCTGTGATCATCCACTCCTTCATGGTATAATACTAATCATCTATGGAGCATATAGAGAACTACAGGCAAGAAAATTCATCATTCCGTGTGCTGTACCAACACTCTAAGCATTTCTTAATATAATGATGGGCAGTGGCTAGCAGTAGAGTGCATAATGAGCGTTTCGTCCTATTTGGGATTCGTCAGCCGGATGTACCTGTTTCTCAGTGACTCTGTTCATACTAAGACTCAAACCTAGGTCAAATTGCCTCAAACTATGCTATGCCCACCGTAAAAAGAATGGCTACCGTGACTCATTGGCCTGGTGGATAAGGCCCTAGGGTTTGAAGCGGCTGATCCTGAGTTCGAATCGTAGTGGTAGCAACGTGTTGGCCGATCACTTTGGTTCAATCAACGACGAAGATTCACAAGCTATAACACCAAGGACTGGTTTAACTTCCTTTTGTCAAAATGTTTGATTATAGCTTTTACCGTATCCCCCATGAGATGAATTAAATGCATATTATTGCAACTGGCTCTGGGCGACCATACTAAAACGTGCCATTAATGTATACAGTCCTTGACTGATGCTTTGAGCCATGTAGGACGATGCAGACTAGTCGGTTGGGGTCTGCGGGACAAGAAAAACTAGTGGTTGGAGACTGATTCTAGGTGGTATCGTGTAGAACCGATATCAGTGGCACAGGTGTATATACACATTATCTTTATCTTAACCGCTATACTTATTCTCATTTTCTCATTCTTCCTTCTTCTCTCTTACTACTCTCTACTCCTTTTGACCGATTTTTCTTCCCTTCATCTTCCATTTTATTGCCTTTTTATTTGATGTACTGGTATGTAAGCTGTGGCAAGTTGAACCGTTATGCAGAAGTAATACCTAATCCTATGATAATTAACATACACTCTGATTAATATCAATATGTTTTATAATTGTCTGTATTATACACATTTATTTAGATTTTCTACGAGAACCAATTCCAAATGGTGGTTGGGGTTGGCTTGTTGCATTGGGAAGCTTTCTATGCATTTTTACTGTAGACGGTGTCTGCTTTTCCTATGGTCTACACATTAATGAAATGATTCGAGAAGGTCAATTCAATATTGATTCCTCTGATGTAAATAATTCACAACAAACAGCATCTTTAGCTATGCTAAGCTTACCGGGAGCATTATTATGCGGGATATACTTTTATTTGGTATGTTGCATAAATTTAGTGTTTTTTTTTCCTTAAAAAACTTTTTTCAAGTTGAGTAAAATATGTTAGATTATGAAACAGGTATTTCCTCGTATATAAACTTCAACAAAACACTAAGATACAGTTTCTTTGAAGTGTGTGTGTGTGTGTATATGTGTGAGTGATATCATTACTTGCACCACAACAAATGTTTTCAGTACTACCAATTTGAATTGCTGGAAAAGGTAATACTTGAAGAGTGAGAAATACCTGGGCTTAGACATTCACCTGGATTAAATGATTGTATGGATACTTACTTATTCCTGAAATCATTGAAGTAAGTTATTATTGGTCAATAAATCTACGAACATTAGAATTACTGTTAAAATTGACGTTTATGTGACGAAACACTGGGTCTTGCAGATGGGTCAATCATATCGACTACTCACAACGTGAACACCGAATATTGCATAGTTTGATGTGAAAAAAGAATTGTGAACAGGAATGACTTAAACTCAGAACGATATGTATGTACTGCAAAGTGATAATTTCCTACTATTTTCATAATATTTAGACACTTAGTATCATGATGCAGTCTAGTGTCCTCCCTCTGTATCATTCAATACTGCTAAAACCTTTTATGTTTCTCTGCAGTTATCATTATGATGAAGCCTGTAAACTGTCTTCTCTCATGTTAACTTCATAACTTGAGAATAAAGATATTTATTTATTAGCGCAATATATTTTAAACAATCTTGTCATACACTTGTTTATAACAAAGGATTAATAGACCTTAAAGGTAGTCTATATAATATACGGCGAAATTGTTAGTTCAATGGGGAAATCATAGATGCAAAAAGACAAAGGGTATATTCATCACCTTGCATATTAACGCAGAAGTTACCGAAATAGTAGATTTATTCCAATAAATAAAATTGTTTTTAAATATATAAAGGAAGTTTAAACTTTCTCTTATAGATAGATCTTCAACAAATGATTTTGTAAATAGGTTTAAAAGATGTATACAAATCAATCCTGTGCTCTATTTCAATGATTATACTTAGCTATAGACGAAGTTGGATATCTCTATTGTTTGGAGGAAAATAGGATCTAATTTAGGCGTTTTTCAACTTGGTATTCATCATGAACTGACATCAATTGGAGGAACATAAGAAACCTGGGAGCACTGGACATCTGTTTTGTCCTAGTATGGGACTCCTCAGCAGTGCGCACTCATGATCCCATCAGGGGTCACTAGATCTCCACAAATCTCCAAACTAAATTGATCTAGTACTCATTGGTGACTATCTTCGAGACATCATTCCTGAAGTTGCAATGAGGAGTCGTGACCGGTGAGGCAAACCTAGTGGCTGTGAGGACAAGTACTCAACTATGACGGGTGATGGTCATGCTGTGTGGTGAACTGACAGAAGTGGGAAATATGGACCATTGGATTCAGACCTGGTGATCATGGGACTTGATGGTCCTCTGTTTGATCCCTGTCGGGGTCACTGGCGCGCACTGCTGAGGAGTCCCGGACTAGGACGGAACAGGTGTCGAGTGCTCTCAGGTTTCTAATGTTCCTCCAACTGATGTCAGTCCATGATGAAGGTAGGATCATTCCACAAAATGAGTTATTGTAGTCATTTTGGAATGTGCTCTCTGACCCTTACTCGCATAGATCGGCGAATCCTCTCTCTCTGTGGGTCTGTGCATGATCATACGTGTATATAAATTGATAAATGCAGTTGGATGTGATGCAATCGTTCAAGAGCTTATTAGTTTTGTTTCCCCTATATTGTTGATCTTCTTCGGATGGCTCCATTAGGTCTTCGTTTTGCTGGTCTGACTTTATGAACTATCTGTATATGCTAGTGTGGTATAACTATCTTTTTTGAAACCTACCGAACAATAGTTCTTTTTTTTTCAGTATTTTTATTGTGATTGATAAATTACGGCGTACGATTGTTGTCTAATAATACCGTAATGTTCTGCGTTTCTTTATCAAAAGTATAATTTGTGTGTATATTCTTTTAATCTCATTGTACAGCTACTTGAATAGTGTCCGTTGTTACTGAGATGGACAGAAACTATGGTAGGCTAGGTAATGTCTTGTCCATGTTGATTTCCCATGGATGGGATCGTTCAATTGACCCATCTTGCCGAAGAGTTATGAGAATACCCAAAAATGGTAGATGATCATCTTTTTCCTTCATACATGTCAAGCATTGAGAATTACAATAGCAGTTGCACATGCTTATGCTGTCGACGGATCTCTTGTAGGAAGAAATCTTCACAATTGAATTTTCACCCAGACTCTTGATGTTGTTGGCTAACGAAGGGACCCAAAGGACTTCCCATGGCCATACCATCAATCTAGTACGAACATTCACTCCTAAATGTAAATAATTTGACATTACTGATGCATAGAAGAAGAAATTTCCTTAAGTCAGATAAGGAAGTGAAGTCGGCAATTGAATAATAATAATAATAATGGCTTTATTCTAAAACGTACTTCGGTAATACCCTACAGAACTTTCAGCATGTCATGTAACATCAGTTGGACAGAAACAGCTAAATACGTACAGTGTTGTAGATTTTTTTCTATTTCGTAGTATGTGCATAAAGTCGTAAGTACTTACTCCTTGTCTTTTCATATGAGCGACACCCAAAAAGCTTTGAAGGAAGATGCTGCTAGTCATCTGATAAAATAACTTTTAGTAGATGTTTAAATGAGTTAATATGTGTTTGTCCACAACTGTTTTTACTAGAGGGTTTAGAAGTACACCACAAGTTCTTCTGACAGTCTTCAAAGTTCTACGCAATACAGCATAGTTTGTTATCAGGAACCTATAAAACAATGAAGCGGAATAATATAGGAGAACAAGCAAGATGCGAGAGTTTACAAAATGCAAGAGTTGAGGCTGACTTATACCAGATACTTTCAGCTTCATAATAAAGTTAAGAACATTGTTATATAGATATGTAATAGCATACAGCTATCTGTCTGTATCAAAGAGACATTAATGAACAAAGAGTTCACGTCAAGAGAAAATAATTCTGTTTTTGAGATTAGTTATTATGAAGAAAATGAACAAGCTTAAAACAAACTTAAACAAAACTGTTTCGTAACACGATCCAATAGCTTCACTGAACACTAAAGCTTTTGAGTTCGAGACCCACCAATTGACATTATTGAATTCAGACGATTCAGACAGCTTGTAGGTTTTATTAAGGGTGTAAAAGTGTGGGAATTGGGATTCTACAGGTTTTAATGAGTCGATCTTTACTTTGCTTATAGAATTTATAGTGAGAAGTTTCATTAGATTGGTCGTTATTTTTTCTTGTAGAGTCTGTACCTTTTCTGCAGAGTAGTCATGTTTGAGAATGGATACTACATCACCAAAATAGCATAGTGATTGGTTATCAAGGCTGGTTGAAATCGGTGGAACCATAGTTTGATGATTTGTGTAAAGGCTGAGGCTAAAGTCATTCATTTGTTATTCAGTCAGTGTTAACAGAAGACCTGACATAGCAGCCTGAGTTGTTCTACCTCAAATCAACAAATCAAGATACAAGGCAGTCAGTTGAAAGAAAAGGAAACAGAAAAACTATAGAAATTAGAGTCCTGTAAGCAAATAACTCTTAAGATGCAGGGTTGTGAAAAAGAATGATAATACTTAATGATTGATAGTCGAGGGTTGATATGGTTCAACCCGACTGTTTCGCAAAGAGAAATCAAAAGACCGGTAATCAACTGAGTTTATAGGATCTCTGCAGAAGCCAATCAGAACGCCAGTGGGGGTTGTATGAAATGTGACCCATATGTGAGAAAAAGGGGGCGAAGAAAGACAGTCCAAATATATGGGAAGTGCAAGTAAGGAATATGGGGGATATACGCATCCCTAGCAATAACAATATGTTATACAATGGTCGCGATAAAGATAAGATAGTGATGATGAATAGTGACCAACAGTGGAGTCTAGGATGCGCATTTTGTCCCAGTTAGGACTAGTCAGCTAGACGTAGCAGCTTCTCGGTGAGTGGTGTCGTTTCTCCTCGAGAATCGAAAGGTAACCTGTCGATTCACACACCAGAGTGTTATCCACTACGCTACTGAGTCATGAAACCCACTCCTTGTGGGATGGATTTTGTAGCTTGTAATTTTCCATCGTTGGTTTCATCTATCGCAGAAGGGATGAGTATCATGACTCAGTATTCTAGTGGATAACACTATGAAGTGATTGGTTTTGTGTTGGAGTTTCAGTGGGAAAAATATCAAGCATTGAGCAGGGATACGTAGCTGATGACTCCCAATTGGGACGAAACGTCCATCGTGTATTCTACTGCTGACCTCTGTCTGTCGTTTCTATCAGATGAAATTGTCGGCAGTATCGAGGCATCTGGATAGAAGCCCGAATCCCAGTAGTGGCCACTCGATTCGGTCCAATCAACAACGGGAAGTTACAAGTTACCAAATAAAGACAAGATGTTGAAGCATACTTATCATTGTGCTGGATTTCGAGCCATAATATAAGAGATTTCGACTTCGAAGTGGATTTCAGTGCATAGGCCTACTTTCAACGGTTAGAAATCCTGTGAATATGATCATCACACAAGCCAAGTAAACACAGAACATTTGAACAGAAGTCCATCAGCTCAAGTTACAACACTACATACACCAGTATTCAAAGAACAAATGGATAGATAAAGGATGATATAAAAGTAGAAAGAAGTGTATGTGAAGAGAAGGAATTTGGAAATCGAGATTAACAAAGATGTTTAAACTTTTGGGAACGTCAAAAAGTGTGTTGTGACCGAATGGTGGGGTTGTGCGTGGGTATAATGATACCGAGACTCAATAGACACCTCAACCGAATACCTTTACGACTGACCTCCCTCGGTACCTTCTGCTTCACTGAGCCGCGTAAAATCGGAAGACAAAAGACGGCCTGTGACTGCAAGAACAGGGACAACTTTTATTAGGCAAATACTTGACATATATGAAGTTACAAAACTCCCAGAAAGTGAAACCTTAAATGAACCAATCAGATTTCTTGTATGAGGTCGAATTTCTCCAATCAGGTTCACATGTCAGCGCATGCACAAATCATGACCTGGATATGATCTGATCATGACTTGAAAACAACTACGTAACAGAGTGAATACCTCTGCACTATTATAACCTATTTTTAGTCATTTTATCAAGCATTTCCAATCTTCTTTAAGCTGATGCCATATTTTAAACTTGATAACTTCGAAAACTGATTTCACCGTAGACAAAGACATTTGAATACTTTAACATCATGAATTGTGTATAGACTTTTTAGATTCGCTTAGTTTATGACCATTTGTTTTATGAATCAACATGGTTTGTGTGTAAACAACCTTTCATTCAAATATTCATTATTTATTTAAATACAAGAAAGGTAAAGGAAGTAGTCTTAAGTGAGAAGTCGATTGCTTTCTGTTTTCTAATTTTCTTTATTCAAACTTTCTATGATTACAAAAAAACAGTTATACGGTTTTGCGTCCAATAGTTAGTGGAATTTTTTGAGGTAGTTGTGGAGATTTGGAAATATTTCAAGTCATTATTCACCGTAGACTGACATCAGTTGGAGGAACAAAGGAAACCTGGGAGCACTGGACATCTCTTTCGTCCTAGTATGGGACTCCTCAGCAGTGCTCGCCCATGACCCCACCAGAGCTCGAGCCGGCTACCTTCGGGTTCCGCGGCCAGCGCGTTACCATAGTTTATGACTCCACAGATGTTGTAATGTCTTGATCCTATGACCATAAAGTTTCACCTGTCTTACCATATGACTATGAAACGTAGGTATTAAAAGTGAAGATTTGGATAGGCTTGGAATATTTAATGACTGTCATTCTGATAACCTTTTGTTTGTGCCTTGGAATCATTGTGTAGAAACAATGTTAACGGCAAGGTGTAGACGATTCGGCAAGTGATTTCAGTCATATTTTTTAAAGTTGTGCAACTATATTAACTTTAGTAGTTAGGCTATGTGTTTCCTATGTGTGTAGCCACTCTTTACTTATGAAATCCAAAAACGGTTAGAATCTAGGTGACATAACTCAAAATTGAAAATAGCTGCATAGATAAACTCATACCATATCTCCATCTATGTCATGGTATTGTATATATTTATTCCCTTATATCTTATTTCGTCTATGTCTTTGCTACGATTGGTGGTTAGTCTTTACTTTATTTTTCTAGCTTGATCCCCTTCTCTTCTTCTTCCTCCTCAGTTCTACTGTTGCATAGTGTGGTGATTTTTTCTGTTTTAACTGGTATATCTTATGTTCACTTTGATAGTAGTATATCCTGGATACTATATTCTATAAGTGTGGAGATCTTCTGCACTCAGCATGCGGAACAAGATACGGATTTTCAACACCAATTCAGTCAAGTCAGTGCTTCTGTATGGTTGAGAGACTTGGCGCGTTATGAAAGGGATTTCCAATAAACTACAGACATTCATCAACAACTGGCACCTACGCTGGCTCGCTACTGAATATCAGATGGATTGCGAGAATGGTGAGAATAAGCAACAAGGAGCTCTGGTAACGAACCAACCAAGAACCTATCACCCAACAAATGTGCAGGAGGAAGTGGAGATGGATTGGCCATGCACTGAGAAGGCCGACTGAGGACATCACGCGTCAGGCCAGTCCTTCGAGTGGAATCCCCATGGGAAGCGACGAGTTGGACGTCCGAGGGTGACATGGAGGAGGTCGTGCGAGCAGGAAATGAGAGGTTGTGGGCTGTCGTGGAACCAGGTTGAAAAGATCTCAGAGAACAGAGTTCACTGGAGACGTGCTACTGAAGCCCTATGTTCCACTAGGAACCCAAGTGACTAATAATAATAATAATAAATAATACTATATTCTATAAGTGTTTTCAACTTCATCGGTCACTTCATAATTTCTGTTCCAAAATATCTGCGAATTTCTCTGCGTCACATTTCTACTTTTTTTTGATTGGAGATCAAGAATGCAATGAATTGAACTTACTTAATGCTCCAATGACAGTAAAGTTAAAAGTCATCCCTAGGTGCTGTTGTACTTGTTAGAACTTATAGCGTTCTGTGTTAAACTGCATATTTTCTGTGTTTGTTATGCATATGTTACCTATTTGTATAGTTTTTAAAATACTGTCTGTCATTGTTCATGTGGTGGTAAGTAAGTACAGTTGTATTGATCTTGGTGACTAGCAGAGGATTCTAGGATGCACATTTCGTCCTGTTTGGGACTCGTCAGCTGGATGTGCCTGCACCCAAGTGCGGAGTAATGTTGTTCCCACTGGGGCTTGAAGCCATTACCCATCGCTTTAAACTCCAGAGCATTATCCACTAAGATGCTAGGGCATGATAGCCATCTGTTGTGCAGCTGGTATCAGTTATTGTAATGATACTTATTATTTCCGGTTACTCGACCTCTGTTGTCAGATAGGCTCGTATGCGGATGCCTCGATACTGCCGGATATTCATGATGTTATATTGATCTTGGTGACTAGCAGAGGAATACAGGACGCGTGTTTTGTCCTATCGTACCCCTTTGGCTTAGCGGATAACGCTCTGAAGTTTAAAGCGATGAGTAATGCATCCGAGCTCCGGTGGGAACAACATCGCTCCACACTGAGGTGCAGATAAATCCAGCTGACGAGTCCCAAATAGGAGGAATCGCGCGTCCTGCATTTCTCTGCTAGTCACCAAGATCAATATAACATCATAAATATCTAGTGGTATTGAGGTATCTGCATAGGAGCCCAAATGCCAAAAGAAGTCGAGCAATTCGACCCTATGTATCAACGGGAAATTACAATTATCATCACAATTAGTACAGTTATTTATGAAGAAGGATGCTCACAAATCGAGTTAAAATTTAGGCATCATATTACAACAGAAACGGATTTTTGAATGTAGTTTTCACTTCAATATATATGCATACAGAACATAGAAAATATTCAGTTTCTCATAGATAATACTTATAGCACCAGGGCATGGGGGTGACTTTTAACCTCATTCCTCTAATAAACGTAGTTTTTATTTTTGAGATGAATGGTGATATTTTAATAATGTAGAAGTAGTATTCACCATGGACTGACATCAGTTGGTGGAACCATTGAAAACCTGGGAGCACTGGACAGCTGTTTCGTTTTAGTATGCGACTCTTCAGCAGTACACGCCCACGACCCAGCTAGGGATTGAACTCAGGACCTTCACGTTTCACGGTGAACGCGTTAACCATTCAGCCACTGGGTCGGTTTTCAGTGGTTCACAATTTCCAACTTCTGTCAATTCATGACATAGCGCGACTATCACCCAAAGTCTTGAGGAGGAGTCGCATACTAGGACGAAACAGGTGTCTAGTGCTCCAAGATTTTCTCCAACTGATCTCAGTCTATGATAAATACTACTTCTAAATTAAAAATCCCCATTCATCTCAAAAATACATTATTGCATAGTGCTCATTAGTGACTTGCTTCCAGATGGATATCATGAAGCTGTAATGAGAAGCCGTAACCTGTGGGGTGAAGCAGCTGGAAGTGAAGTGGATGCTAACTGAAGACCTTGGGTGATAGTAGCGCTATGTCGTGAATTGATAGAAGTTGGAAATTGTGAACCACTGGAAGCCGACCCAGTGGCTGAATGGTCTGGGGGGGGGGGTTTGCCGTGAAACCTGAAGGTGGTGAGTTCGATCTGTGGCGGGGTCGTGTGTGCGTACTGCCAAAGAGTCGCATACTAGGACGAAACAGCTGTCTAGTGATCCCAGGTTTTCAATGGTTCCCCAACTGATGTCACTCCATGATGAATAGTACTTTTAAACGTAGTTTTTATTTTTGAATTGTATTATTTCTAGAAGTTAAACTTTTAACGCTGTTTCATGTATTCACTACAGGTTTTTATACCCTGATTAATGCAAAACATTTTTTTATGAACCTTAATTTGTATATTCCCTTTTTTTTTAAAAAAAAAAAAACAAACAACAAAATAAACATACTAAACTATCAGGTCCTCTTACCGGTGCTTTAGTCAATCGATTTGATTATCGTATAGTTGCATCAATTGGTTCAGTTATTACTTCATTATGCCTTCTAATATGTGCACTATTCATATATGATTTAATCATATTTACTATTGTATTCGGTGTCATTGGAGGTAAGTTGAATGACTTCAGTCAGTAAATTAATCTAACTTGTTTACTGTTTCATCTTTATTTTCTTGTTTGAAATTTTTTTTCGTATTTTATTTAATTGATGCTATTCATTTACTTTTCTCTTTACCATTTTTATTGTATTAAACGCATTAAAATTATCATATAAGAAGTTGGAAATATAAAACTTGTGTATGATGATTCATTTCGAGTGTTTTTAGATCTCAGATCTTCATTCTGACAGTCAAATTATCTGAGTTAATGAATGTGGCTGTAACTTGATTGATTTATAATATATTTTGTGAATAAATTGACTTTAGTATAGCTCTCCTTCAGTGCATACATTTCGTCCCACACAGAACTCCTCAGACGAGCTTATATATACACCAGTAAGAGTTCACGTTACTACCGCACATTACACATCGGTGAATCATACGCGAAACCAGTGTTACTACACACTGCTCATGTCCAATTAGTATTAGTTTTCGATACAACTTGTTTCATATCAATATGCCTTGACAGATAGACAGTTAAAGTTAACGTGGAACCTCGCACAAATGTGTATCGGTTCAAGTTGCCGCACAAAGATATATGAAAGGAGAGAGAGCTTGAAAACTAAGGTTAATCAAAATATTCAAACTTTAGAATATATCAAATAGTCAATATATCTGAACCATTGTGATCGAGTTTTTGCCGTTTCATCAAGAGTTTTCAACCAATGATTCCTGTTGTCTCGAGGACGTCAGTTACACAGTTTCTACCTCTCTACACGGATCAGACTAATAGTCAGTGACTTTATCGATTGGTGCTTCTTCTTAATCTCTCAACCATCACATAGAAGCACTGGCGTGACTGACACTAGTGTTGAAAATCTGGATGTTGTTTTCGGTTTATGCTGAGTGTAGTGAACTGGAGTAGAGTAGAGTAGATCTCCACACTGATTTCGGATTAGTGAAGGAAGGCATGTTTTGGTGTCTTTCCGATCCTGGTTACTTTGACATCTTCATCTGTGCTGCCGCTTGTAGTTGAAACGATGCAGCCTATGTAGGTAGGTGGAGACAACTTCGTTTAGATTTTTCCTGTTGATGATGATTGGTGCTTGTTGTTGTTGTTTGTTGAGTATCATCATCATCTCTGTCTTATTAACGTTCATCAGAAGTCAGTCTTGTCTGTGCTGCCTCGTCTCTTCACCTGTAGATCTTCGAGTTTGTATAACATTAGACTAAAATCATCATCATCATCATCGGCGAAATCTAAGACTTCTAGGAATATACGACCTTTTATTTACGCAACACTATATAAAATCATGTATTTAGAGTAAAAAGCTCATGAATATATATATATATATATATATATATATATGTAAAGTATAATATTATTTTGTAAATATGGTGTACATATAACTCTGTCTGAAGACAATCGTTTTTTATAACTAACCAAAACTTATTAACTTTTCATTAAAAAACAAAATACTATCAAATATTCATCATTTTCTTAGGGATTGGCTGTAGCCTAATTTATTTACCAGCTATTACAGTAGTTGGACATTGGTTCGAAGATCATCGTGCTTTTATTGTTGGTATGGTAATGTGTGGTGGATGTTTAGGTTCCGGTTTAATGTCTATCATTACGCCTTATTTGGCTCATCATTTCTCATGGCGTGGTAGTCTTATTTTAATTGCTGGATTATTTAATCAAACATTAGTAAGTTATTATTTTTAAAAAAAATTATTGTTGAGATGATATGCATTCCCTTTCTTTTTGTTGTTGTGTGAATTGTTTTAAATTTTACATAAAAATAATAACGTTATCGTAAAAAAGCAACCACATTTCATGCTGCCAAGATGTTTACAAATGAATTCTATTCGGTATATATATGAATGAAGCCCAGTGATGCCTTTGAAGTGAAGACATGAAGGAGTGAGACAAGGCTGTCTACTATCACCCATGATCTTCCTGATTGTAGAGAACTGGATCATGCACCAAACAGTGAGGAGCGAGAAGAGGGAGATACACTGGACCGATAAAAAGATCCTACAAGATTTGTATTTTTTCGATGACTTGTGTCTAATGTCACACAAACTCGAAGATCTACAGGCGAGAACTAACAAGTTGAAAGAAGACGTGATGCAGCGAAGACGGGACTGACTTCAAGTGAACGCAGAGAAGACAGAGATGATGAAGATACCCAACCAACAACACCACCATCAACAACTGCCTCCAATCACCATCAACAGGAGAAGGAAGCTTAAAGGAAGTAGACTCTTTCACCTACCTAGGCAAGGCAGCATCGTTTCAACTACAAGTGGCGGTGGCACAGACGAGAACATCAAAGCAGCCAGGATCGGAAATACAGCAAGACAGGCGTTCACTAACCTGAAACCAGTGTGGAGATCTTCTGCACTCCACACAGTATAAAGTGAGAACAAGATCCGGATTTTCAACACCAACATCAGTCAAGTCAGTGCTCCTATGCGGTGGTTCAGAGACTGAGCACGTTACGAAAGGCATTTCCAACAAACTACAGACATTCATCAACAACTGCCTACGCTCACTCGATACTGAAGATTAGACAGATGGCCAGAAAGAATAAGGAAGAAGGAAGTGTGGCTGGCGACGAACCAACCAACAACCTGTCACTCAACAAATATGCACTGGAAGGAAGTGGAGATGGATTGGATTGGGCATACACTGAGAAGACTATTCGGGGATATCAGGCGCCAGGCCACGCCCTTGAGTGGAGCCCAGATGGGAAACGACGAGTTGGGCGTCCGGAGTGAGGGTGACATGGAGGAGATGGTGTGAGGAAGAAATGAGAGCTTGTAGGCTGTCATGGAGCCAGGTTTGAAAGATTGCAGAGGAGAGATTGGAATGGAGACGTGCTACTGAAGTCGTATGTTCCACTGGGAACCCAAGGGACAAATAATAATAATGAATGAAGTTGGCAAGATATTTGACACCACTCCTTAGGGAGGTTAATCTCCTATCTGAAAATAGGATATCCTACTGATAGCAGTAGTAGTTGTACAGTCATTACATAGTTCACGCATTAATATAAGTGCAAAACATGGGCACTAAGATAGAATTTAACTCCATATTCGATTTTTTTAAAATTTGGTATATAGAGCACAGTGATAGAGTATTATTCACTTGCTGACTTTTCAACCATAAGTTATTGCTCATAATCATATGAGTGTGATCAGACTACTTTCAATATCTGATTTTTATAGTCCTCTCACATGTCTCATATTTGTTTTTATTGTAGTAAAATTCTCCATAACTGTAGCATAGATGTTGCGTCATTTCTGTTACATGTGTTGGATGTCGGCTGATTCGATGAACAAGGATTCACTAATCAATCTCTCTCTTTCCACCCAATAGGGTGGATGTGTATCAACGCATGCATTGAAATAGCCGAGTGTTTTTGTAGACTACTAATCTTATTCGGGTCTGTCATTCTATATTCAACTAAATTCCTATATCTGGGTATTCTAATTGACCCTAACGGGCTAGTTCGACCGATGTACTTGACCTGACTCACAGTCATTACATAGAATTTGATACATTAGTTTATTTTGCCCATTTCCATCTATCGGATCCTTAAGCCAACGGACAATGCTTATCTGTGAATGATCCTAATTCTAGCTTCATTGACGATCCTACGTAAAATTTCTGATGTACCTTCTTCATAGGGTAACAGAATGGAGGCTGTGAACTCCTTTCTACTCATGTTGTCGTTATTATTCTTACTCTTATGACTGTTATCATTTCGTTTCTTATGTGTTCGTACGAATTTTTTGATAAACAGTAAAAGATACTTATTGACTATTAGCGTTTCTTTGATATGCTTTAGTTCCTTGCTGAGATTCTTGCATGGACTAGTCAGTTTTTTTTAGCTTTATTATTTAAACATTTAACTAAACCCGCCTTAATTGACATTAGATGAGATGATTTGAAGCCTAGCTACCTATTGAAATGTATCCATTCCCTGTAGACGATAGTATCCAGACTGTTAACGGATACTAACTGCGAAATTGTGAATGTTGAAGCAACTGGATTCACTTTTCTTCATAGTCTTAATTAGTAGAGATAGTAATCGTCACTAGATTGAATGATGTGTACGATGAATCTCTACGGATACCTGGAAGCTGATAGAGGAGGGGAGGATGGTGAAGCAGAAGATAAACCAGTGCAAGGATGCTCAACGACAAGAGGGACTGAGCACAATGTATAAAACACTGGACAAAGAAGTGAAGAAGAGTGCACGGAAAGACAAAAGACACTTCTACGACACACTGGCAAGTGAAACAGAACAGGCTGCAGGTAGGAGCGACAGAGATCTGACGACATTGTATCAAATAACCACGTTGCTATCTGGGAAGAGATCAACACAGATGAAACCAATAAAAGATGAAGAAGGAAATTTAATTACAAAAGAAGAGAAACAGACGAAACAATGGGCCGACCACTTCAAGAAGCTCTTGAATCGACCACCACCACCACCACCACCTGCACTTCGTCCAGAAATACCATCTGCAGCCCGGCCACAGAACTACAAGTGAACATAAATCCTCCAACAAAAGTGGAAGTCCTGAACGCCATAAAGCAACTGAAATGCGGGAAAGCGACAGGACCAGATGGGATCCCGCCAGAAGCACTGAGAACAGACGCAGAGACAACAGCGGACATGCTCACACCACACCACTATTGCAGAAGGTGTGGAAGGAAGAGAAGGTATCTGTCTATTGATTGGAAGAAGGGTTACCTTGTCAAACTGCCGAAGAAGGGAGACCTCAGTGTTTGCAAGAACTGGTGCGGAATCACTCTCCTGTCCACCCAGTGCAAGCAAAATATCAAGCCGCATCATTCTGGAGAGGCTTAAAGACGCACTGGATTCAAAACTGCGACCGGAACAGGCAGGCTTCAGGAAGTACAAATCATGTGCAGACCAAATTGCAACGCTTCGTATCATCATAGAACAGAGCATAGAATGGCAATCAGCTCTCTACCTCAACTTCATCGACTTTGAGAAGGCCTTTGACAGCGTCGACCGAGAGGTAATTTGGAAACTGCCTCAATACTACGGAGTACCACAAACCTTTATCCGCCTCATTCAACAACTATATGAAGATGCCACGTACCAGCCAAGTAATTCACAATGGGAAGCTCAGTGATGCTTTTGAAGTGAAGACAGGAGTGAAACAAGGTTGCCTACTATCCCCCATGATATTCCTGATTGTGGTCGACTGGACTGGATCATGCAGCAAACAGTGGGGAGCTGTGAGAAGAGGGGATACGCTGGACTGAGGAAAAGAACCTAGAAGATTTGGATTTCGCCAACGATGATGACTTGTGTCTGATGTCACACAAATTTGAAGATCTACAGGTGAAAACTAACAAGTTGACAGAAGAGGTGAGGCGAGGCAGCGAAGACGGGACTTCAAGTGAATATAGAGAAGACAGAGGTGATGAAGATACCGCACCACCACCAACAACAAACTCCAGTGACCATGAACGGGAGAAACTTAAAGGAAGTAACCTCCTTCACCTATCTAGGCAGCAATGTTTCAACTACAGGCGGGACTGACGAGGATGTCAAAGTCAGAATCGGAAAAGATAGGAAGACAGGCGTTGATTAGCCTGAAACCAGTGTGGAGATCTTCTGCACTCAGCATGTGGAACAAGATGCGGATTTTCAACACCAATGTAGTCAAGTCAGTGCTTCTGTATGGTGGATGAGAGACTTGGTGCGTTACGAAAGGGATTTTCAATAAACTACAGACATTCATCAACAACTGGCACCTACACTGGCTCGCTCCTGAAGATCAGATGAATTGCCAAAAAGAATAAGCAACAAGGAACTCTGGGAACGAATCAACCAAGAACCTATCACCCAACAAATATGCAGGAGGAAGTGGAGATGGATTGGCCATGCACTGAGAAGACCGACTGAGGACATCAGGCGTCAGGCCAGTCCTTCGAGTGGAATCCCCATGGGAAGCGATGAGTTGGGCGTCGGTGCCGAGGGTGACATGGAGGAGGTCATGCGAGGAGGAAATGAGAGGTTGTGGGCTGTCGTGGAATCAGGTTCAAGGGATTTCAGAGAACAGAGGTCACTGGAGACGTGCTACTGAAGCCCTATGTTCCACTAGGAACCCAAGGGACTAATAATAATAATAATACGCTGAATCTGTGAACATTTAAAAGTTAAGTTTATTGCTTTCAAGTATATTTATCTCTTCATAATCAGTTGATCAATAGAAGATTTACAAAGAAGCAGTGACTATGAACTCTCTTCTAGCACATTTAGTTCAAAAACTTAGAAGTTAATTTAATTAGGAATCAAACATGTCTATTCTTAAAAGTTAACTATAAAATTGTGAAGTTCAGAGAAACATTTAGAGATTTTCAGTATCAAACAGACTTAATGTTGAAATACAATTTGTATAAATTAATCTGTTACAATGTTTACATATACTAACAAATAAGAATAAATAATAATTTATAGTCGAAGGGTTAATTAGATTCAATCTGAAAGAGAATCATACTGATCTTGACAGACAAGGAATACTTGAAACATTAAAAGTGGTATGGGTCAGTCATAACATTATCAGGTTCTATGAAATATAATAAATTCATTTTAGAGGTTACTATGAAGTTATTTATTGATTTCAAGGACTGATATTAGTTGAAGAACTATTGAA